CTGAGTCAACCCTGAGCCGGTGAGATTTGAACCGCTGACCTGCTGATCTAGCAGTAGCCTGCAGTGCTGCATTTAACCACTGCGCCACCTTGGCTCATAAACCAATTGTAAACCACTTCCAAAATGTTGCCTGACTTGTCCAGGCAGTCAAAGGGGTCAACATTGACTGAAATTTGGAAATCATATAATTCCAAATTTCCCCTTTGGCCAGAGTGCCTTGTGGAGTGAGAGTTCTTGCTTTTGTAGGGATAGTGATGTCCAAATTGCTTTAAACTCTGTTCAGTAAAAATAATAGTATACTTCACCTGTCTACCTACAATTCAAAAATACATTTAATAATATAGAAAAGGAAAGCCCCAGATGAAGATTCAAGAACAGTTTAGGGTTCCTCAAACATCTATTCTCTCTTCCTTGTCTACCGCGAACTATGACCTGTTCTTTTAATAGCAGGGAAAAATGGAATGATGATGTGTTACATTTAAAAATCTTGTGACTATATTTTCAAGAGAAAAACAGCTTGGGGCTAGTCTGAAAGTGAGAAGTGATAGAAGGCAGAGGTACTAATTGTAAGAAATGCAGCCCTCTCATGGTCATACACACACATATATATCCTTTTCTCCCTAGGGAGCAGTTTTTAGGTTTTATTTTTTAAAGCTTGTCTGAATAACACAGGAATTGCCTTATAGCTCAGTGAGATGGATTCATTCATGCAGAACATTATACATGTACTTCTTCAGATGAAAGATAATTTACAGTCAGACAGAAATCTATGAAGCGTGAACAGCTCATGTTTTGAGCCTCCAACTTTATCTCTTTGGCAAAACACCAGACTGCATCTTATCTGCTGTTCTATTCAAATGGCTTCCAAGAGCCTTGGAAAAGAGAAAATAGTTTTGAGGAAGGGATCCACTGGCTGTGTAAAAATACTGAGCAGCAGGGAGCCCATCTTGTATTGTGCCCCAGGCTGAAGCAGTTCACTTTCTGCCAAAATCCTTTCATAGCTTAAATCATTTGTTGTGCCAGGCTGACAGTCTGTATTGCCTTATCAATGCCATCCAAGTTCTTGAAAAAGCAAAGCTTGCTGTGATTTTAGTACCTGTGTCTTTTGTAGCAGAAAACAAAAACACACAATTTCTTCCCTGCATTTCTTTTCCCCATGCCTCACTCCTCAATAGCTACTTTTCTTAGGGTGTATAGGGAATATTTTTTTAATGTAGCCTAACTGTCCCTTTGTGCTTCTTTTGGTCAGACTCATCAGGAGAGGAGGGGTAAAATTTGCCTCCTTAAACGTTGCGTGTTTAGGATCCGATTGAGCCAATGTTTCTTAATCTTTCTCTTTTTTGGCTTTGGATTCCATTCTTGTCTGACTTGGATTTAATTACTTCCATTGGGCCTCGTAAATAATTGCCTCTTTGATGATATTTACAGGAAAGGATCTAAGAGTAATTCTGAAGAGTAAGACCAACCTAGGAGATAGCTAGAGTAAGAACAACTTCAAACCTGTCTTTGAAATGCAAGAATCTCCTTCATATAGGTAGCCAGTATGTAGGTGGATGCCCATGTACAGATACACATGATAGAGACATTCCCATAATTGGAATCTGTATTAAAATGAGAGCTGTCTGAGCACAGAACAGGATCTTGACTACAGAACTGAAGTCTTGTTGCTTTCTATACCAAATATTTGTGTACGCCACTATTTCTTATAAAATGAGTCTTATTAGTTTCAACTTCTGTTTCTACTTAAGTCTGGATGTGGCCTGATTACCATTTAAGCATGGGACAGGTTCAGCTATTTATGCTTTAGCCTGTATTTAGGTAAAGAATGAATGCTTTGATCTTCCATTTTCATCTAGACATGGACATTATGTAGTAGTAGAAAGAGAAAAAAGATTGGGACCTTAAGTAAATTTTAATATCTCAGTTTAAGACAGTTGGATTGGTCACGACCTTTACGATATGCTTGTTCCCTTCTGGGATTCTATTACAGAGTGCTGCTTTTATGAGGAGTCTGTGGAATATGGGGCCAGCTTGTATTTCTGTTATTTTGATGGAAGATATCCAAATATTCTCTCAACTGAGCTTTTTCTTTTCTCTCATAGGGCTATTTGAGGCCTGAATTACTGGGAAACGAGTTTACTTTCTTTGAGTTTCCCCGAAGGATCCAACAGAAGGAAGTGGGAAAGAAGATGTTATATAGGGACCAAAATATGAATGGCTGGTAACTTCTCTTTTCATTTGAAATAAAGCATGCTGAATCTCAGTGTCAGTCACAAAAAGAAGATAATTTCTTTCCATCATCCTAAGCCATTCAGATGTTCCAAGCCCTCACCCCTCCCCTTGCAATCCTTGATTTACAACCATAATTGAGCCTGGAATTATGGTCATAAGTCATGGCAGTCATTAAGCAAGTCACCATGTGACCGTGCCTGATTTTGTAACCTTTTTTGGAGCAGCTGTTAAGTGAGTGCTGCTGTCATTAAGTAAATGCTGCAGTCTTTAAACAAATCCATAACACCCAACTGCTGGACGTAAATGCCAATAACTAGCAAAAGCCACCAAAAAATCATGGTCATGTGGCCATGCATGCTGCAAAAGGTTTCCATGTGCCCAACGTACAATCATGTGACCATGGGGGGCATTAGGTGTGACTGCTAGAACTTTGAAATAAGGTTGTAAGTGTAGCTCTGGGAAGTCCATCATAACAGTTGTTAAGCAAGGACTACCTGGAGGTGTGTTTACCTGGGCACAAATTGGAGAAATTACATACATAAAACACTGCTGACCTCAACCTTTTTTTCTAGCTATGAGTAGAAGAGATTCACCAGGACATTTTCTCCTTCAGCAATTGGTAGTTTAATAAATCTTAATATATCTGAGGCGATGATAAACTTCGGAGTGGCCTTATTTTGTATGTTTCCTTTTCTAACTAGGGCATATAAAAGGATAGAAGAAGATGATCTGAAGTTTCCACTTGTATATGGAGAGGGTAAAAAAGTAAGAGCTAAAACTAATATGGGAGTCTTTGTGCAATGGAGAGTTATTCATTTTCAGTAAATAGAGACAATGTTAGATTAAACAAGTATGAGGTGGAGAGAGGTTTGGTTGAGGGATAATGGAATTGGATTCAGGTTCTGCAAATCTTTATCACACAAATAAATGCCAGTTTTATGTTACAGTTTTAAAGTCAACAGGTTATTTTAAAAATGGGCTTAATGTTTTGATACTAAATACTGATTCCCTGAAAATAAGACCAAACTGGAAAATAAGCCCTAGTTTGTAATATAAGCCCTACCCCCCAAATTAAGCCCCAGTTAACATTGCCAGCCAGACGGAAGCATTTAATGCCATATTCCCCTGGAAATAAGACCTAACTGGAAAATAAGCCCTAATGTGTGTTTTGGAGCAAAAAATAATATTAGATTTGGTCTTATTTTTAGGGAAACATGAGTGGATACAGCTAGCATTAGGATTATTTGCAATTTTTTATTGAAGAAAGAAAACAAGGAAAAATGAACAACTTAAAGAATAAAAATATGAAGAAGAAAAATAAAATAAAAGTGAATACATATACAATTTTGTCTTTAAGAAGTTAATATGAAACTTTAAATATCCATTTCTAATATTGCTTTTTCAAAATGACTTTTACACAGCTGAAAGTAGTTGGTTAAGAAAAACATTGTTAATAAAGTAAATATACAGTGACCAAATCTGAAAACACTTTTTCTTCTCTTGAGTTTCTTAATGTTTTTTGATGCTTTGATTTTTTTAGATAGAGCAACTTTTCAGACATTGAAATACTACTAGTTCAGTGAAAGATATCTAGTCTTCCAATATTTTGCACTAACAAATCTTGTTTCCTAACAATATGGGATTGAACAAATGTCTTCATATTGCATCAAGTGTTTATTGGCTACTTGTTTTTCTAATTAGGCTCGAATGATGGCAACCATTGGGGTAACTCGAGGCTTAGGAGACCATGATCTCAAAGTTTACAACTCCAACATCCACATTAAGCCTTTCTTATCTTGCATTCCAGAGGTGAGCACAACAAAACTAATGTTCTGATCCTTGAGATATACAGGTACTCCTCAATTTACAACTGTTCATTTAGTGATCGTTTAAATGGCACTGAAAAAAAAAAGACTTTTGACCATTTTTCAGACCATTGTAGGATCCACATGGTCACATGTTCAAAATTCAGATGCTTGGCAACTGATTCATATTTATGACAGGTGCATTGTCCTGAGGTCACATGTTTACCTTTTTGCGACCTTCTGACAAGCCAAGCCAATGGGGAAGCCAGAATCATTTAATCAGCATGTTACGAACTTAACAACTGCAGTGATCACTTAACAACTGTGGCAAAAAATATCGTGAAATGGAGCAGAATAGAACAGAACAGAACAGAATTCTTTATTGGCCAAGTGTGATTAGACACACAAGGAATTTGTCTTTGGTGTATATGCTCTCAGTATACATAAAGAAAAATAAAATAGAATACATTCCTCAAGAATCATAAGGTACAACACTTAATGATAGTCATAGGGTACAAATAAGCAATCAAATCATACTAGGAAACAATATAAATCATAACAATACAAGCAACAAAGTTATAGTCATACAGTCATAAGTGGGAGGAGATGGGTGATAGGAATGATGAGAATAGTAATAGTAATGCAGACTTAATAAATAGTTTGGCAGCATTGTTCTTGTGTGTAGTTGTTTTGTGCAGTGCTCTATAGCATGGTTTTGAGGGTGGGAGTTGAAACAATTTATGTCTAGGTTGTGAGTGGTCTGTAAATATTTTCACATCCCTCTTTTTGACTTGTGCACTATACAGTGGAAGGCAGGTTGGTAGGAACTGTTTTTTCTGCAGTTCTAATTTTCCTCTAAAATTCTGTCTGTCTTGTTGGGTTGCAGAACCAAACCAGACAGTTATAAAGGTGCAGATGACAGACTCAATATTTCATCTGTAGAACTGTATCAGCATCTCATTGGGCAGTTTGAGTTGGTGCAGAAAGAACATTCTTTGTTGTGCTTTTTTGATGACATTTTTGATGTTATGTGTTCATTTTAGGTCTTAAGATATGATAGAACCTAGAAATTTGAAGGTTGATACTGTGTTGTCTAGTATTGTAAGAGGTGGTAGTATGGGAGGGTTTCTACCACCATTTCTACGGTTTTGGGGCTCAATTGTGGTTGTAAGTTGAAAAATATCTGTATTTACATTGTGTGTGTGTGTGTGCGTGTGTGTGTGTGTGTGTGTGTGTGTGTTTGGAAGTGGGCATGATTTGAAAACTTTGGAACTCCACTAATGCAACTCGTCACACAAATATCACTTTCCACATTTGCATATTTCAGCCCCCTGACCTTCTCAAATACCCAGGGATTTTAAAAAAATGAAGCCTTAATGACGGAAGAAATTTAAATGCTCCATAAATAGATAATCTGATTGAAAACTTTGGTTGCCATTAAGTCTGGTGATTCATGCCCTCGGTAGACCCCGTGCGTGACAGACAGATCTAAAATGGTTGCCCTTCCTGGCCTTAATTATAAGCTTTCCATTTATTTGTTTTAAGGGCAGTATAATGGAATATTTGTATTTTCTTTCTGGACAAAGTACATTTCTTAATTGTAAATTCCTTCAGGATTTCTTTTCATGGGAAGCAGTATAGAAATGTTGAAAATAAATACAGTGGTACCGTGATACTCAACTGCTTAGAACTCATTTTAAATTCATGCATTTTAATGAGAAAATGTAGTCCTGTTACTTGTCGTTTGTTTGATACTTGACATGCAAGCTAGAACTTGTCAGTATCAGCTGCCTCATGAGTCACTACCCTTGCCAGCTGAAACAAAGGGTCACTCATTAGTCACCTGGTACCTCTGTCCCTGGACACATCCCCTTATGGTCTAATCTGAGTGCCTGTGGTCATTTTGTATATTTTTGCGCTGACCTCGGGAAGGCCCTGGACATTTCCTTTCGGAGAAATTTAGGAGAATCAATGTTCCATTAAGAATCTTCAAACAAAGATATATTTAAAATGTCTTTTTCCCCAGGTTTATTAACCAGCCAATAAGTCTGGACAAATCTGTTGCATTTTTTCCAATATTTACAAGTGCTGTCTGCCCATTCATGTTTTTGGCAAATTCAAACCTCTAGGAATTCCAACCATTTTTAATTGGCAGGTTCATAATGAGAGTGATCCCTTAGGTATCTTTTTCTTTTGCAATGCAAATTCATAGCAACAAAATTTTATCTTTGTGTTTATCCACAGGTGCACATTTATGACCTCACACAGTATGAGCATTGCCCTGATGATGTGCTGGTGCTGGGCACTGATGGCCTCTGGGATGTCACTAGTGATCAGGAGGTAGCCACTGTGGTCATTGATGTATTGATGGGCTATGAACCCAATGATCCTTGCAGGTGAATAGAACTGAATTTCCTTTCTTTCAAGTGTTGGGGATGACACTGTTCACTGGGTAGAACAGCCCTTTCTGAAACACTTACTATCAGTCTTAATTTGTACTTTTTGTTTTGCCTACTTGCCCTGTTGAATTAAGTTTATCTGTATCGTTCCAATTTTAGTATATGTGCTGCCGAAGCAAGCACTTGAATTAAGTTTATGTAACTTATATAAATGGACCACTAACTGAAAACTGGGAGGGAGAGAGGACTTCTAAAGTGTGCAACATTCAACAGGTGAGAGAAGATGTTCCCTTAATAGAAGTAGTCCTTGACTTATGATCAGTCACTTATCAACAGTTTGAAGTTATGATGGACACCAAAAAAGCTACTTAAAACCTGATTTTGAAGTTATAGTGGCCATACACACGCAGGCGAGTGCACACGCACACACATGGCAGTCATATGACTGTATTTTGGATGTTTGGCAACTGGCTCACTTTTACACTCATTTGCATCATCCATGCTCACATGACCACAATTTTCAACATTTTTTTGATGGTTTCTAGCATTTACTTCCAATTTCTGTTTTAAAAAATATCATTAGATAAAATGGATTCACTTAACTACCACATCATTCACTTAAAACTACCACCCAAAAAATGTAAAATCGAGTCCGGTCATGTGGCAACCTGCCACAATGACTTATGACTGTAATTCCAGGCTTAATTACATTCATAAGTTGAGGATTACTTGAATTAAAAATTATAATCAGTTCTATTTTCAAGGTTAGTCACATGCTTGCTTGGGACCTCATGGATATAACTGCACCTTTTTGGAAATGCATTTTTGAGATGAAAAATAGGCAGATTTTTCTCCCAGTCTTCCATTCATGATGCCAACATTTCCATCTGGACATTTATTTCCAGCTTTTCATATATAAACAGACTAATAAATGAGTAGTTCTTCTTCAAATATGGAACAGGAATATGGAATGGAAACAGTTCTTACTGTTTTATTTTTTAATTATTTATTTCCTTATAAGCCTTTGGTTCTTTCTGTAAAAATACAGAGGCAATTCACTGGTTGCTTTTAATAGCTCACATTTCTGTCAAGCCTATTCTACACATTTGGTCCCTTCTATTGTCACCTTGCCATGTCCTTTGCTGAAATGAATGAAGCATTTTTTTCATGATATTCTACAGATTTGGATTCAGGTGTCCCTGAATGAAGCCCAAGTAGTTCAATCCATTTTACTGCTATTTCTAAAAGCTTTCTGGTTGAATCTACTTACCAGCATATATTAAAATTGCAAGAAGATAACTTTAATCCATTCTTCCCCCCCCCTCTTCACAATCAAGTAATTAAAATAATGACGTGGTTACAGTGCACCCATGAATACTTACTTCATAATAATATATCATGTTAGATTTCTTGCTATTTTCCTGTGAATAGTAATTATGGGCTTTATTCTCTTCCAGATATACCATGGCAGCCCAGGAATTGGTAATGAGATCCAGAGGAGTTCTGAAGGACCGTGGCTGGAGGCTGGCCAATGACAAACTGGGTTCTGGAGATGATATATCTGTTTTTGTTATCCCCCTGGGTGGTCCAGGAAACTATTCCTGAACCCTGAACCTCCGGGATACAGAGTTCTTGATTCAAAACTATAAAAAATGTAATTTAATTGAAGATTGTAGATTCCCTTGCTGTTGAAATATTTTGTTCTTCAAGTCTTCAGAAATGGATTATAAAACCCAGTCATAAAGACTGCAGTTTCTCCATCCAGTTTTCATCTTTTTCAAGCAAGCGAGAGACGTGACACATAGCCGAAATCAAACTCTTTCATGAATTTCTCCCATAAGGTCTTGAAGTGCTGTAAAAATCCTTAATTCTCAGGGCTGTGTGGAATCTGTGATGTGGTGCCAGGGAAAGAAGACTCTGGGTTCCACTGGCATGGAAATGGTCTTCATACTGATTGTTAGTTCTGGACTATCCTTGATCTGTTACAGTACTGAATCATTTGTAAATATTTTTTTTTTGTTTCCCCCGTGATTATAAAGGGACAACTCAAGATGCCAAGGACCACCTCATTTTGATTCACAATGGCAACTGTGCCTACTTGTCTAGAAAATACTGTCTTTCTTGGCAATTAATCATATGTGAATTGCTAAAAAATAATGTCAAGTAAGTGTTGTTGACTGGTTGCTAGTTATTTCTTGGATTTATCCCAGGCAGGATATGCAGTTTTTCCCCTCTGAAAGTTGGATTTCAGGCTGAATGAAGTAAGCACTCATTTTAAATGTATCACTTATTTTGCAGGGATTTTTCTGCATCATGTTAAATACTGTACATCATTTAACAAAATTTGCTAATTTTATAGGAGTACTTCCTCTGAACGGCAGCAGATGGGTACAACTGATTTCTACCATAGAAAATATTGTTGAAGAAAATCTTACCTTGTATTGCTTCCTCCACAAAGTGGTGGAACATCTGGTGATCTAAGTCAACAACTGAGCCTTAAATAACAATATAGAGAAATCTTCGGCAGGTTAGGGATTGCAAATATGTATCTAAGGGCAAACTACATCTATAGAAGTTTACATTGTAGATTTTATTTCTAGTCACCTGTGCTCTTTTATGAAAGATTGAAAAATTTCTGCATGAAATCTCTACCTCTACAGCCCAGAGCCCTGAGTTCTTGGCTTAATGAATAAAACATATTCTGTACTGGTTTAAAACTGCCTGGCAATAGTAGCTACACTTTATAACTTGGTAACTATTTCAATTCAAGGAACCTAGCAACTCACAATCTGCAGTTTACGATACAGTTGTGAGCAATTGAGTGATAAGACATAACAAAGGGGGTATTGAAGACTATCATATTTATTAAAAACTTTCATGGATCACCTCTGATTCATGAAAGGTATATGCAATGGCAAACTTGTGCACCTTTAGAAAACTCTTTTTTTCCATTTACTGCACACACACAAACACACAACATGGCTATGTTTCCAGAAATGAGTGGTTTTTTTTTCTTCCCCTCTCTTTTTCTTAGCCTTTCTCTTATTCCTTTAAAAAAAAATAAGTTATAGGCATTAAAGAAAATATTTCCACTCTTATTTTTATTCTATGTTTTAAAATATTTCATTTAGGCCACAATTTCTTCCATTTTTGCTAGGGAATAAGGTCCACTGAGTTATTTGGGTCTTCTAAGTAAACATTGACACTTCCCCATTACAGAAAGACTGAGCTTGAACACTTTGATTTATTTGTTAACAATGTGAGGTTTTAATGTCTGATGACAGATTAAAAGATAGACTGAAAGCCTGTGGGTATTTATTGGCATAAAGTAAAAACTAGTCAAGAAATAATCTTACTCGAAAGCACTTTAGTATTGATTTCTCTTTTTCTTTTGACCTGTTGTGACTTTATGGTGATTGATGTGTATCATGTCGCTTGTGAAAGATTAAATAAAGTAAATGCACCTCTTGGGAACCACTAGGACATAATCAGAAGATTAGATCATCTAGATTCCTTTTAAATACTTCGACTGAGTCATTGTTATGGCATAGTGAAGGCTACATCCAAATGTACCCACACTGATAGTTGACTTCAAGTGTTAATTCTAAGACCATGTCAGAATTCACCCTCTGGGAAGTCAATGCTGCACTTGCTGGCTGCATCCACTGAGGCTATTGCAAGGGAGAATTTACATGCATTCAAGCAAATATAAAGGAAGCTTTTATCACATGCAAGTGAATAAAAAGTTAAATTCCAGCTCAGATTTGGCACTCAGTGGCTCAGATTCACATGACCTGGTAAATTGTCATTAATCCGTACTCAGTTTACCTGATTTGTCGACTGCCATAGCAGTCTGGATCATAAACTGACCAAGTGGACCATGTTCATGCCACAGGCTAGATAAAATGTGATTTTAGTTTTTAGTTCAGTGTGGCTTTCAAATTACACTGGGTGAATATACCTTCAAAAGTTGTAGCCATCTTCCTCAACAATTTAAACCTCCCTGACTATTTTTTTGAACACATAACAATAGTTTGTATGTCACATTTTAAAAAACCCTATTTATTATATTATTATGATTAGGACAGAATTAGGAATACTGTATGGACCACTTTACAATGAAAATAAAAGTTAAGTGAAAACCTGATTTAAAAAGCAAAATATTTCACAATGTTTACAAGACTGCACTAAGCGAATACAATGAGAGTTGGGCGACTGCTCCTTGAATGAACAATCATGGTTTGTTGTGAGTTGCCTGAAAGGTGTCTCTTTTCACTATGTGCCTAGAAAGTGAGTTGCAACTTCAGTGAATTGCAATTATATGAAGATATAACATATCTTAATCTTATGCTTCAGCCTATTAGCTGTTACAGTTACTAACTATTAAGATTATAAGAAATTCATGTTCACTATCTTAAACATTTATACCTCCTCCTCTGCTTTACTGAATTTCTTTATTCAAATTCTTATCTAGAAATTCCATTAAAAAGGATGAATACTCTTAGTTCATAAGAACTAACTTGTCATTTATATTTGAAAAAAGAACCTCTGGAAATTGGGAATGGCCAATAGAGGGCAGCAGTGTTACTTGGTTGCATTGCTAATTTATCCTGTACAGGTTTCCCAAAATTAATTCCGTGAATTCTCTCACACTTCAGCCTTGATGAGAAAGTTCTCGTGTATATGAAATTCTGCTACTCCCTCTTCAGAGCTGGGGATCATTGTAAAACTATTTTTTAGTTGCTGCATAACATTCTTCCAGCCTGTACAAGTTAGGAGTACTGTACTTTTTCTGTACAGGATAAATTAATAAGGAAGAAAAGTGATTAATATAAGCTAGTGAATCATAAACTAGCTAACTACTTCTTTGCTTTTATATTGTATTAATGAAGTTATTGGTTCAGTGTATTATACAAATCCAAAAAATGTGCTAATAGACTACAGCTTTGTCAAGCAGAGCTTATTACTAGGCCACCTGTCTCCATTGAGTCATTGTTTCAGTCATTGTTACATGCTTCCGCAATGCCTTCAATAGTGACAGAGCTTCTAATGTTCTATTTTCATTGAAAAAGTTGTGATGCCTTCAGAGAAGTATCTTCTTGGAAAACAGCCCATGTTGAATTGTATAGCAGTTAAACATCAGTACAGAAAAGCTTAATGACACTCCATTTTATGTCATAAACTGCTTTAATATTTATGTCATAAAATGTTTTACAAAATTTGCTAAATTTCAGAGGCATGGGAATCAAGCTTCCTGAATTTTGGACACATTCTCTTAAGTTAGCCCATTTGAGGTAACTTGTTCAAGAGGGTTTGCCTTGGGTTGTACCCTTTCAGAGCTAAGGACTACAGCAGGGCTGTCAAAATGGTGGCCCATGGGCTGGATGAGACACATGCAGCCCACCCCAGATCCACAAAGGGGGGAAATGTCACCAAACGTCATGTGATGGCAACGTCACCTGGTGAGTTTGACACCCATGGAGCACAGGAATCGGAATGTTCGTGGTATACAAGTAGTCCTCAACTTACGACAGTTCATTTAGTGACCACTCAAAATTACAACAGCACTAAAAAAAAGTGACTTTTGACAGCATCCAGATGATCATGTGATCAAAATTCAGGTGCTTGGCAACTGGTTCACATTTATGACTGTTGCTGTTCCCCAAGGTCATGTGGTCCCCTTTTGAGACCACCGGACAAAAAAAAGTGAATGGGAAAGCCAGATTCACTTAACCACCAGGTTACTAACTTATCAACTGCAGTGATTCACTTAATCACTTAACAACTGTGACAAAGGTTGTAAAATGGGGCAAAACTCAATAAACAAATGTCTCAATCACAGTAATTTGGGAGTCAATTGTGGTTGTAAGTCGAGGACTACCTGTATAGATAAAAACACCTAAATATGTTAATAAAAGTTAGGGGGTACTTTTGTCTTCATCAGCCTTCCCCCGCCGCAGGGCCTCTCCCTCCTGTCCACCTGCAAAGTGGCTATGGGAACAAGTTGGAAGTAAGTACTTAAGAGGGAAAGCCTCCAGGTGGCTTTGGTCGCGGTACGGGTATTGCTCGGAGGTGCCTGGAAACACCGCCCAGCCTACGCTCAGCCCAAGGAGTTCCCCGCCTGGGATACGTCGCTGCCTCGGAGAAGCATGACACAAGGCGACTCCGACGACAGGTCCCACGCCCCCGAGCCTGACCCGAGCCTAGCTCCTCCTCTCAGGCGGGGCAAGAGGCAGCCAGAGCGGCTTTGACAATCCCAAGAAGCCAGTCCGTTTCTGTGTCTCTCTTCCCCGGACCGACGAGGCGAGGACCCGGGGCTGCCCGAGCCAGACTTCGTGGTAAGTCTTGGTAAGCCCTGGGAAAGAGTAGCGCCCAACTAGATGCGGCTAGGGCTGGAGCAGCTAGGAGCGCCCCTCGAGTAACTTTGGCTTGTTGACTAGGAAAGAGATGTAGGAGGAGGAAGAGGAGGAGGAGGAAGGTGGCGTTGCGCTGAGGATTGCCTGGGCGCACCCGAGAGATTGAGCAGGGCCAACGAGACTGAATAGGGGACGGTGTCAGAAGCCTCCCCGATGACTTGCAAACTCCTCTTACGTAGTTGCTCTGGATTGCAGCAAAACTTGCCGAAATTCGCGTGGAATCGAACCAATTATTGTGTTAGCTTTAGCCGGGCTGCGGTCACGCCCATGCGAGGCGATCGAAGACTGCTGCCTTAAAGACCCGGTAGAGAGACCCCCGCCCGGGTGACTAAGGATGGACTGCGTTTAAAAGTGGCGTGGCATCCTACCAAGTATTTAACTGTGTGGTAACTGGGCAGAGAGCAGGAACTCTGTACTCATCCGTTTCTGCTTTTGGAATAATGTATAGAAGCGGGAGTTCCTAATGCCTGGTTATTTCAGGTATAATGCATAGCTCTTGGGCTTAGGCATCAGGTGAGATTGTAAAAGAAAATTGTGTACAGTATAGAGCTAATGCTGGAAGATGTTTATTAGTTCCCTGGTCCAGGATGAAGAAGTGGCACCAGCAATAAAAAGAGTTGTGGTTCTTCTGGGTGGGTAACAGGTATAGTTTGGAATAGTGGTTAAGGCACTGGAATTCTAATCCCACCTTTGACATGAAACCAGCTGTGTGACCTTGGGCCAATTGTGCCCATGCGCTCTATCCTAGGAAAAAGGCAATGCAAACCACTTCTGAAAAACCTTGCCAAAAAAAAATTCAGGGACTTTTCCAGGCAGTTGCCAAGAGTCAAAACATGATATGAAGGGACCAAAAAGCAAATGATAGAACCCTTTTGCATTTAAAGATGGTGAGATGGAGTGAACCTAATTTGCATCTTTGCCAAAATACTGGAATAATTAAAAAAAAACTCTTAGCCTTAGATGTTTTATACTACACTACACTACAATATACAAAGGGAAACATTTGACATATTTAATTAAGAAAATAAGTCATATCTTTCTTACATTTCCTTCTGGCTTCCAGATGAAGTTTGGAACAAGATGGGATTGGGGGGAGGGGGTGAACTAAACCTATTGGTAGGCCTGTTTGTTGCTTCTTGGGAAGAGGAGCTGGTAAGTTACGAAATACTGACTTGTATCACCTCTTATGAATGGCTTCTGAGAGAAACAAGCTTCTAAAGATTGCTGTAGTAGTAAAGACATCAGATTAAAAACTGGGAGGCTGTGATTTTTAGTTCCACCTTAGACCCAAGCTGGGTGACCTTGGCCAGTCAGTCTCATCCTAATGAAGCAAGCAGTGGCAAACCAAACCTTGCCAAGAACAAGGAAGAAGAGGGAGGGAGGGAG